AGTAAGGCCCTCAGAAACACTGAGAATCAGGCTGCCTGCCTCGGGTCTTCTAATTCCGAGCAAGCCTCTCCGGGCCTCTGTTTCCTCAGTTATGGAAGAAGGATAGCCATTCCTAGTCTGGCCTATTTCACAGCACTGCACTGAGATCAAACAAGATCACATATGTGAAGGTATTTTCCTTCAGAGAGTAGTCCTAGCAGAAGGATGGGTGTCAGGGAAAGGGCACACTAGACAGGCAGCCAGACTGCAAAACCAGGCTGGACCGCTGGAATGGGCCGGATCCCAACTGAGCCAGGAGCTAAAGCAGATTCAGACTCACGGCTTTAGTTCCCCTCTGCCTGGAATGTCCTTCTACCTTTTCTAAACTCCTACTCATTTTTAAGAATCCAATTCAAACAATACTTCTTTTTGTTAGTGTCTTCAGAATAAATTATTCTGTCTTCACTGCTCCCTTGGCCTCACACACCTCTAATAGCACTTCTCACTCTGTAGAGTAAGGATTTATTTATGTACTTGGAAGTTCTTGCAGGGCAAAGACATGGACTCTTTATCTTTGTATCCACCTCCCCACCCACCACTGTGTGACCAACGCTGGTGGGTCAGCACACACAGACCCATGAGGGGGTGGCAGGCAGGGAAGCCAGGAAGGTAGTGTCACCAAGGCCTGCCTGCCCCTGGCAATAAGGGCAGAGCCACAGAGATGGGAGTCAAAACCAAACTGCAAGTCCTGGGAGGAACAGATGGGAGCATGCTAAGACCCAAAGAACTACACTGGAACAGAAGACCCTGGGGCCAGCGACAAGGGCAGAGAACACAGCCAGAGCGAGAGGCAGAGCAAAGCTCAGTGGTACTGAAGCCTGGAATTTCAAGATTGTGTGTGGACAGGTTTGCTTGCTCCCAAGTGTTTGGCTAACACTCCCAAATGTTAACACTGGTTCACATGCCAAAGCTGAGCCAGCAGCTAGGGGTTAAGTGGTGTTGACTATGACACTGGAGGACTTTAGGGGCAGGAGACATTACAAATTTAAGTAGTGATCATTTCTATGACATAATAGTCACAAATGGAAGAAACTCTTAGATCTATAAGAAACATTAGGGGCCAGGCTCAGTGGATTGAGCGTCGATCCATGCACCAAGAGATCACCGGTTCGATTCTGGGTCAGGGCACATGCCCAGGTTGTGAGCCCAATCCCCAGTGGGGGGCATGCAAGAGGCAGCCAATCAATGTTCTCTCTCATCAATGTTTCTATCTCTCTCTCTCCCTCTCCCTTTTTCTCTCTCTAAGATCAATAAAGAAAAAGAAATTTAAAAATAAACATTAGGAATCACCCCAACCTACATATGGGGAATGAAGGGTGCAGGAAGAAAGGGAGCTTCCCCAAATTCACTAAGTCAGGACAAAACCAGACCTACAATCAAGGTCTTCTGACTCCAAATTTAGACCTCGTCCCTCAGAGGCTGTTCACCTTCAGTCCAGCAGGTCTCCTGATGGGAACACTAACACACCAGATGCCCAGCTCTACCTGCTTCAGAACCTTGGGGGAACCCTGACGTGCCCACTAAGTGAGCACAAACTCTTCTGTAAAATGCAGGCTTCCACCTGCGAGCAGAACTCAGCGCCAACCACAGGAAACATGCAGGTGGCAACCCCACTTAGGGCTTGGAAAGCAAAAGGCTGTGTGGTGCATGTTTGCTGCCAAGGAGCAAGCAAACCTGTCCACACACACTCTGCTCTAACACATGCAGGGGGAATTAATCCCATCACTGTGCTACCCCCGGAATTGCCCATGAGTGGCTAGAGAGGCCCACTATCTAAGGCCAAGCTGACAGTGTGTGAAACATAGCTGTCACCACTGCAAGAACATTAAAGAAAGGCCCACCAGGTCTAAAACCTCAAAGTCCTCCTCAGGCCAGAGATGAGACACAGCTCAGAAGAAAAAACAGAAACCCTCAGGGAATCAAAAACCCTGAATCTCAGACTTCCAGGACTTCCACCCAGGTGAGGATACCCATGTAAAAGGACATATGTAATTTTACTTCATCTACACAGAAAATATATGAGCTTCACGTACTACAAGTACAAGTCTCAGACCCATTGTTTACCTAGAATGTGATCCCAGGCCAGCGACTCCCCAGTCGGAGCCTTTGTCCCCTTATTCGTAGAAAAGAGATGCAGTGATTCAAAGCTGTGCCCAGGTTTACTGTGACGATGAGATTAGGTACAAAGCATTTAGCACACTGCCTGGCCCGTAACAACCACCGGGTAACACTGTGTTTATTTGCTCTCTTCTGTTCACAGGAAGGGATGCTTATACCATAGTTCAGCTCTATCTACCTGTGCTTTCCCTCCTGACTGGCTGTCCTCTGGACCATTCTGGATAGACATTCTACCTGAGGCCCCAGATAAGATAGCCCACTCCTCCCTCAACGTATCCCTTAGATATAAAGAAGGTAATTATTGCCCTGGCCGGTTTGGCTCAGCTATTAGAGTGTTGGCCCGCAGACCAGAGAGTTCCGGGTTCAGTTTTCGCTAAGGGCGCGTACCTCGGCTGCAGTTTGTCCCCGGCCCCAGTTGGGGTCGTGTGGGTGGCAACCACTCGATGTGTCTCTCTCACATTGACGTTTCTCTCTCTCTCTCTTCCTTCCTCTCTCCCTCCAGCTCTATCTGAAGATAAATGCAAAAATGTCCTCGGGAGAGGATAAAAAAAAGAAGGCAATTAGCTATGGGCCACACTCAGGTCCTTGAAGATCAGAAATCATCAACTTAGTTCAAGGCTGTTCCTGTCTCCCCAGGTGTCCCTGCCCCTCCCTGGCCAACCCCCTGCCAGGGTAACACCTTGTCTTGTCCAAGGTGAATGGGGCTTGGAATGACGTTAGAGCTTGTCATCTCCTCCCAGCAGCTTATAGCTGCCCACACTGGCTTGGCACAGGGCCTCAGGCAAATAGGTATCTTGGAGGTCAGACCTGGACATCAACAGTGGAGAGAATTCCCAGCCCCAATTTACCAACAGAAAACAGCCTGGAGTCTGAACCTGTAGCAAGAGCAGGGAGTATACACACCAGCACCCCGAAGACTGGAGCAGAGACGGAGGGGAGCACTACATAAAGCGGCCACAGGGCTCAAGCCAATTCCTCAGACTGTCCTGCTAAGAAGCTAAATAAAAGTCACATCAGTGTCATGCTTTAGGCCACAGGTGTGCACTGGCCACATCTGTCACAGCTCTGCTCATCATGGCCACCACAGGGTGTTCAATGGCTTCAAAGGGGAAGAAGAGAAAGGACCCAAAAATAATCGAGGGAGTTCCTGCCATGGGCCAAGAACTTTTCAAGTAATCCTCATTAACGACCTTCTGTGATAGGCGTTACCATCCTCATCTTGCCAATAAAGCCAGAGACTCAAAAAGCTCCATGAAGCCTCTGTGCCTCTGATGTGCCACCCGACCACAAAGTCTCCACCTAAAGAGCCTAAAGTCTCTTGTACCGTCTCAGGCCCTGACCTCCTAAGCAGACAAAACCGGCTTGAATACTGCCTTCCTTCATTCACTGCTGGTGGAGGCAGCTGCTTTCCAACAGAATCCAGAGAAATGTAGTGAAAGTCACAAAGATGCCCGTGGCCTTTGCCCCTTGCAATTTCATCCCCAAGATTGTACCTTCAAGAAACAATTCAACAGGGTTCACTGAAGAGTCCACCACAGTGCAAAAAAAAAAAAAAAAGGAAACGATCTCAACATCCAACATTCAAAGAATGATTTAGAAAACCCCAGAACTTTCCAACCACATAAAAGCCACTTAAAATTATCTTACACCCAAGAAAAACAAAGCAAAGCATTTGTGATAAAATAAATGAAGACAATACAAAACATTATAAATAATTTTGTAAAGGATACACGTGTATATGCAAACAGAAAGGCAATTGTGTTAGAGTGTTAGGATTGTGAATGGTTATCATTATTATTATTACCATGTCCAAACTGTCTTTGCGGTCTTGTTTAATGCCTTTTCAATTAAAGAAAAAGAGAGGGAGAGAGAAAGAAAGACAGCCTCAATGCAGCACTGAGGAGAGGCCCAGGAGGACCAGGGCAGGAATGGAGAACCGTCCTACATACCCGGAAGGAGGAGGCCAGGCAGGCCCTGGGGGAAGGGAAGCCCTCTAGGTATGGAGAGGGTTGTAATTAGTCTGATGCTAATTACAGAAGTCTCACTAGCTTATTAGTTTTTTGACAGACTCAATGAAGACTGAATTCCTTTATCAAGCCAGCTTGGGTCCAGAGGCACACTTCCTGTGTGGCCATCCTCATTCTTCTCAAAAAACCAAGTCTTTTTTCTTTTCTTTTTTTTTAAGGACAGCAGTAAAGTAAAATTTAGTAACAGAAACACACACCCTGGAGAAATTAAGACTCCTGCCTTAAATGTAGAAATCTAAGACATTTCAGGGAACTACAGGGGCTTGAATAAGCAAATGAACTACAATGTTTTCTACACTGGGAAATATAAACAGAAGAACAAAAACACTCAGCTCAGTATTAAAGGCCCCCTGATCAGGTTCCACTCCATCTTTCTGATATTACCTCCTGTTCGCCCCACAGACACTCTGCGCTTCCCGACCCCGTGACTCTGTTCAAGCTGTTGGGCCCACCTGACAGTCCTTTTCTCCTACAGCTGTTTGCTCACGTCCGCCCATCTTCCAGGCGGAGCCCTGAGCCCTGTCCTCCTCGGGGCCTGGCCTGACCCTGTGCCCTGACGTCATTTCTCGCCCCGGAAGTGGACCCAGAGCCTGTGGAACCTCTCCAAAGGAGTCACACAGTCTGGCTCGCGGTGCAGTTCTTGGATGACTGCCTTTCCTACCACATTAAACCACCAGCAGTTTGAGGCAAGGGCCCTCCCAGATTCCTGCGCGGAATCTACCATAACATCCGGATGTGCACACACAGTAGGCCCTCGGTAAACGCTTCGCTGAAAGACAAGGAGGGATGACAGCATCTTGGGAAAGCCACTCCTACCGCAGTTGCTCCTGTTAAGCAGTGCAGAGGCGAAGGCGTGCTCTTCTGTGATCTCGAGCAGGGGAGGGGTGAGTTCTGCTTTTCTGGTTTCCAGTCTTCCTGAGACGCCAACGTCCTCCCTAGTTGACCGTAGTCTGCTCGGCCCCAGGTAAACACCTTGCCAGTTTCTAAAAACAAACATTATTTGAGTTAAGGCTACATTCTACAGCTCTCATGGGTAGGCACTGAATTACAAGAGAATGTGTGAACATTAGTTTTAGTACCAACTACTATATACCAGGAGCCTTCCTATCTACTGTAAAGAAAGCACGAGCCCAACTGGTATGGCTCAGTGGCTGAGCGTTGACCCATGCACTAAGAGGTCTCCCGTTCAATTCCCAATCAGGGCACATGCCCAGGTTGTGGGCCCAATCCCTGGTGGGGGGCATGCAGGAGGCGGCCAATCCATGTTCTCTCTCATCGATATTTCTATCTCTCTCTCCCTCTCCTTTCCTCTCTCTCTAAAATCAATAAAGAAAAAAGTTTAGAAAAAAGAAAGCATGAATATTCACGTCACAGGTGTGGGGAACCAAGGCTTGGAGAGGAGAAATAACTTGCTCAAGATCAAATCAGTGGTGAGCGCCAGAGCCGGACTCCCACAGAGGCTGCTGCTAAAGCCCGTGCTCTTGCATCTTAACAGACAGGGACATGGCACGGAGGACACCCACCCACACTTCATGGCCCACCCACCCTCTCTCCCCATGGCCTCCTTGTACATTGCCCAGATGTTGCTCTCAGGCTCTCCTCTCTCTCTCACCCAATCGAGGGCCCCCATCGGCCACCCTGAAGTCCCCAGGCTCCTGACTTGCCCCATGTCACAATCTCTCAGGATCTTTACTGTGAGCTCAATTAATGGCCAGTTTCATGTGTGTTCCCCTCTATGTAACAGAAGAGGAACTTTCAGAGTCTAAGCTCTTACTCAAAGGAGCAATTCTAAGTCCCTGGGCCAGTCCCTGGGTCTATGTGTGCTGGGGAAGGGAATGAGAGAAAGAAAAAAAAGACAAAATCATTTAGAGTCAGAAAAGCATTCAGTTCCCCAGATGCACCACCTGGGAAGCTGGCCAGTGCTGAAGATGATTGAAGAAAATGAAGTTTGGAAAAATAGAAATGGCCTTCTTCTCCCAGAAAAAAGAAAATCCACCAAATTCATTCAGTTGTACCAAGTGCCGCATTTGTTATTTCAACAGGAATGTAAAATCCGATGAGGCATAGATTATTAACAGATTCTCTGCAATAAATATGCATAACCATGTGCGCTGTATAAATTCTTTATACATGTTTATTTTAACAAAGAAAAACTTTGCTTAAGAGACAAAACACCAAGTAATGCATATTAAATTCTAGACAAATCTACTACTTACTCTGTGTTTAGCATCAAAGCTTCATCTGGCCCCACAGTCAACATATGGCTCACAGTGTCAGCTAAAAACCAACCACACACTCAAAAGGGAAATGTCAGAATATTGCAGGGGTGTAGGGCTCTGTGGGGATATAGTTCTCAGGACCAGTCTGCTCCCAGACACCAAGAAGTGGACAAGATCCTGACTTCTGAGCTTCAAAAAGGGAGCAAAGTCTGGGCAGCCATGGGGTAGCAGGCATATTACAAGAGTGGGGAGTGGGTCCTTTCAGATCTACTACCTCATGGCTCACAAGTGCTGTTCCTTTTGCCATGGACAACTTTTCCTTACATTACTCACCTGAGAAACAATGGCTCAACCTTTACAGTCCATTCATGCACCACCAGTTCTGAGAAACCTTTGTAGTCTCCTCAGTTCTCCACAGAAAGGGTGAAACCCACCCTCCCCTGAACCATCTTTATGAGTGCATTCATCAACTACTATGCTCCCATTTAACAGCTAAGAAAACTAATGTTCAGAGAAGTGACCAGCCCAGGGTCACACAGCTAAGCTGCCTCTCCTACGAGCCCATGGTACCCCTCTACATTGGTTATTCAAACTGGTCCACATCACTGGATAACCACTCAAGACTCTTCCTTCGCCTCTGTAGGATTAGACCCAAAACATCACTGTGCCTCAGACCCAAAAAGCATCCAAAACTGGCAAACTGCCCCTCGACCTGAGCTAGCTGACATTTACAGCCTGCCTTAGAGGGGAGATTCCCAAGCAGCCAAAGGAGGGGACTGTGAGGTAAGAGACCCCAGCATCCCTGTGCTGGGAAAAACTGGCAAGCTGCTAGCTGCAGTTCTACAGAACTGTGTTATCACAAACCCTACAACGAATCCCTTCTCATCAAGTACAACATCGAACCTTCTCTGAGACAGATTATTGATGTCCAAGACAGGCAAGACTGCCAGGACATGGTGCCACCATTATTACATCTCCAATAGCAATCTGACCATTCCACTTACATAGCACTTTTCACCTTCAAAGCACTTTACAAAGATTAACTAATTAATCCTTATGCCCCTGGGGAGGCCACAGACATTCTATTAGAGACAAGCCCAGAAACCAGGCCGACCTGCTGTCCAGCCTTCGGTCTCCAGCCTGTTTGCTCCATCAGGTAGGTGCACTCCCTGACACTGTTCCCCCCAAAATATTCTCTGTGTCAAAAAGCAAGCCCTGCCCTGGCCGGTTTGGCTCAGCAGTTAGAGCGTCCAGAGAGACCCGGGTTCAGTTCCCGCTAAGGGCGCGTACCTCGGTTGCAGTTTGTCCCTGGCCCTGGTCGGTTGTGCGGGTGGCAGCCACTTGATGTGTTCCTTTCACGTCGATGTTTCTCTCTCTGTCTCTGTTCCTCTCTCCCTCTCCCACTCTACCTGAACAAAAAATGGAAAAATGTCCTCGGGTGAGGATAAACAAAAAAAAAAAAAAAAAAAAAAAAGCAAGCCCTGGCCTGTTTGGCTCAGCGGTTAGAGCATCGGCCTGTGGTCTGGAGAGACCCGGGTTTGGTTCCCACTTAGGGCGCATACCTCAGTTGCAGTTTGTCCCCGGCCCTGGTTGGGTCGTGTGGGTGGCGACCACTCGATGTGTTCCTTTCATGTCGATGTTTCTCTCTTTCTCCCTCTCACTCTATCTGAACAAAATATCGAAAAATGTCCTCGGGTGAGGATTAAAAAAAAAGCACAGAGAACAGACAAGACTCTTTTATTTTTTTCTTTTAAACAGATACTTACTGACCACCTCTTGGGTGCCGGCACACTTACAGACACTCTCTCAATTAATCCTAATAATTCTATGATGTACAGATTATTAAGCTAATTAATTTACAGATAAGGTTAAATAACTTGGGAGGGTAAATGACTTGGTTAAGCCGAAACAACCAGCTGGTGGAGGGATAACGATTTAAATCTGTGCCTCTGACTCCAGGACCAACAGGATATCTGATGACTACACAGCTACTGACACCAACTGACAGCATCTGGCTGATGGAACAGCGTCCTCACGGAGTTTAGGGGGGATCCCGGGTTCAATGGGTATGTTCTGTGTACCATCCAGCTTTCCTCACGTCCCAGAAGGACATGCAGAACTCAGGACTGTAAGCACTAAGATACAGGCATTAAATACAAGGATAATGATTTTAGGTCACCTGGAGTAAACAAAAACAATAAATCTACACACAAAAGACGTTCATTACTGCACTGCAGATAAATGTCTGCCTCAGGCTGAAGCACACCATCAAATCTAAGGAGATTCTGATCACAAATGTAGCAAATGGAATCTTTTCCTTAGAGTAAAGAATTATATATTACTACCATGAAACAGAGATACATTAATGTCATTCAAAAAGTATAGGTATGTGTCTCCAGATAAATGATAAATGACAAACAGCTCAAAATAAAGTCAGCAAGCAAAACCTAATTTAAAGCCATGTCCATGTGAAAATTAACAAAACTATGGAGCCGAGAAATGTACATGGCAGAAGATCCCAACTCCAAGTAGAAAACAGCAGGGGCCAAATGAGTAGTATCGACAATGAATGCCTGGGGAGCTTGAAGGAAGCGTTTCAAGCTAGAATGATCCTGACAGGCCGGATGGAACAAGTGGCATTTAAGGTGAACTTCTGGATAGAAAAAAGAGAAAATGAGAGAATCTTTAGGAATGGGAATAGGAAGACGAGATTAGCCATGATGGAAATCAAAAGGCACAAGGTGGGGCAGGTGGGGAGGTGGGGAGAGAGTGAGGGTCATGAGGAAGAGGGACTGGAGGGGCATTCAGGACTGCCAGGCTGGGGCCAGCCACAGGAAATGCCAGGCTCAGGGTCTGGATCTCCCCTTCCAGACCAAGGACACCCAACCTCATTTGCTTGTACTTCCCTACCAGTGAAATATTTTTAACACACCACCAATATATGTATATTAATTTACTTATTAAATTATGCACTTGTATTGCATACATTTATAAATGACAAATGTACCCTTACTCAAAAATATACCCTGTAAGACATACTCAAAACAGAAAATGTCGCCCTGGCCGTTTTGCTCAATGTTTAGAGCATAGGCCTGTGGACTCAAAGTGCTTAGGTTTGATTCCCGGTCAAGGGCATGTGCCTGGGTTGTAGGTTCAATCCCCGGACCTGGTTGGGGTGCCTCCCACTCTCTAACAATCAATGGAAAAAATATATTCTGGTGAAGGTTTTTTTAAAAAAAGAGAGATGAAAATATAAAAGAAGTCAATATTCTCTTCCCACACCCTGGCAATTGGTCTTGCATGTTCACAGACTGCAGACTTTTGAGCAGGGGTAGGGCTTGATGAAAGGAATGTTTTAGGATGTGCTTGGCATTGTTCTTAGCATCCTTTACATAGTACCCAGTTTATCTCTCCCAACAACCTCGTGAGACAGCCACTCATACTTGCCCCATTTTACTGACAGGGAACAAGGCACTTACCTTGTTTCCAATGATAAGTAAGTGAAAAGAGGAAGGGAGGGAGGGAGAGAGGGAGGAAGGAAGGAAGGAAAGAAGGAAGGAAGGAAGGAAGGAAGGAAGGAAGGAAGGAAGGAAGGAAGGAAGGAAGGAAGGAAGGAAGAAAACCCCCCTCACACATAATAACATAGTCTAAAATGCATCAGGGCTGAAAGGAGGGTTGGAATCACATGGGGGTGGGAGGGGAGTAAACATTTGCAAGGCTTGGCACCAGTCAGATGTAGGAGAAAGGGAACAGGAGATAAACAA